CCCACATGGAGAAGCAGGAAGGGGTAGCGATCCGAAGGTTTGATCAGCTTGGTAAGCCTCTCAGTGACATCCTGAGTGCGAGCTCACGGTAAGCAGCACACCTCTCGAGATTCCAGGTCCGGATGGCTCAGTCCCTCTTAGGAGGGAGTCCCCGACCACCACCACCCGTCATTTCCTTTTGGGCGTGGTGGCCACGGAACCCCCATCTGTAGGACTATGCATCCCATGCCTTCCAGTAGATGGTGTTCCCTTCTGGTTTCTTCCTTGTGAGGTCCCTTCCAGGGCTTTCAGCACTGCAGAGCCTGTGGAGAGAGCTTGAAAGCGATTGCTTACCTCTATAGCATCGGGGGATTCCTGTGCTGGCCTTTTTCCCCTTCTAGAAGTTATATGCTGCCAGTTCTCTTCTTAGTCACGTACTGCCCTCTCTGGCTCTTCTGCCTGCCGTGCTTGAAGGATTAAATGCTGCCTTCTGTCGAGGAAGTCTTCATCCTCTCTGATCAAGCGTAGGGTCGACACTTGGGCCTCCAGTCCTCTAATTTTTTCTTCCAAAATGTCGACCAGCTTGCACTTGGTGCCGATGAAATCCGTTCTTTCTTCCAGGAGGAAGACAAACATGGCACACGCTGTGCAGGTAACAACAGCAGACCCATCACCAATCATTGCTGCTGTCCTGGAAAAGGGATTTAAAAAGAAAGGCAAAAGAACCTCCCGCCCTTCCCTCTCCCCTTCCGAACTCCCTCTCAAAACTCCCTGTTAGCAATCACCTGTTCGCAAGCTCCTTGGTAGCTTGCCCACTGCCTTATAGAGCCACTCCCCCTACCACAACACAAGCTCAGCTCACAGCTAGAAAGCCCCAAACAAAACACCCACTTCCCTCAAGACTCCTATACCTGGAGAACTCCCTCTCTAAAGCCTCACTCAAACAGGGAAAGAAAATAAATAAATAAATAAATAAATAAACAAACAAAAAACAAAAAAGAACACACACCAACCCTCACTCACAAACACAAGCTCAGCTCACAGCAAGAAAGCCCCAAACAAAACACCCACTTCCCTCAAGACTCCTGTATCTGCTTCTCCTTCACCTGGAGAACTCCCTCTCAAAACTCCCTGGTAGCAATCACCTGTTCACCCCACCCTGGTTAAGGCTCTGTCCTGAGGTGGTTTTGGTCTGATCCTGCCCCCCATTACCCAGCAGAGCTTAGCTTTTCCCTTGCTAGCATAACCCAGGCCTCTGCTACTTCTACTGTATGCGGGGGAAGTTTCAATAGACTTGCCCCCCGAAGTGTTCTAAATGGCAGTTTGTAAAGTCCAACACCGTCGCTTTAAAATAGCAAAACCCTCAAACAATCACCATTGTAGGAACACACAACAGTGAACAAAGAAATATTGTCTCAATGCCCTGGGCCAGGATTTTGCCAAGGTTTACAGGAGGAAGTTAAGGACAAAAATATAAGCTGTCTTCAAACCCCCTCCACCCTTTACATGACAGGACAGATTCACCACTTCTCTGTCTCACGCCATTGTGCCAGATTGTGTGTACTAGAGATACAACCACAGACACAAGTTAATTGTAGCTATCAAATTCTGAACCTTGTGTGCATGGACATGAAGTTAAGAGGCCTCCACACAACTTCTGGAGACTCAACTAGGAGGAACCATTTGGAGACTTAAGTCCCTGGATCATAACTCCGATAGCCTGCATTCCTCTCTCTTCCTGTTAAGCGAAGAGCAGTTGAGTTTATCAGACAGGCATTATGAATACGCAGAAATAACACAGCCCCCTCTCTCACATGAGGGACAGAGAAGTGTGGAATTTTTTTTAAAATCAATCTGTAGTGCAAAAGGTGACTTCCACACAGACCAGAAGAGATGGACTGACCAACACGCCACAGGGTCTATTAAGGATGCGGAGTGTTTCACTTACAGCCAGTAGAGAGCATACTGTCCCTGCAAATACTTTCCCCCATTAAGGAAAGCTGCATGTGCACTGCAGAAGTGAAACCTTGGCCACAAAATAAAACCAGGAGTGATGGAAATCAAGTGTTACCTGAACAGACTGAAGCTGACAGGAGCATCATAATTCAGCCTTGCCATTGAACCGAAAGGCCAAGGCGTGTAATGGAAGTGATTGCTTTTGCTATCTATGCAGGTGAGGTTCCCCTGGAGCACCCTTTGCTCTGGTATCTATGCGTGTTCAGAACCTCCCTAAGAAAGGCAGAGCTAACACACTATGCCTTTGTTATTATGTGCATTAGAATCACACCCAGGAACTGCCTGAGAGAGGGGTCCTTCCATTGTGCTAGATGCTTCGCAGACAATGACAGGCCAAGCACAAAGGGGAAACAAGCACAGAGGTGAACTAACTTAACCGAAGTGACAGGACTAGACGGCTTGTGCCCTCTCTGGGGGGCACTGCCTCACAATCATCCATCGTTGATGCTTGAGATTCAGTGCTGTTCCCTAGTGTGCTCTGCA